TGCACCGTCTTCTCAGGCATGTGGATCTTGGCCTGGAGCACCAGGTTCTCGAGGGGCGTGCGCAGGATCTCCGGCACTTGGAACGGGACCATCTTCTCCAGCCGGCTCCGCGGGAACAGGTGGTAAGCGAAGCCAGACTGGCAGCGGCCGGCCCGGCCCCGGCGCTGGATCACATTGGCTCGTGACACCCACACCGTCTCCAGGCAGGACACCTGGGGGAGGGGGCAGGTGAGCAGCAACACAGATGCCACAGGCCTGCCTCGGGCCCCCCGTGCCTGGCCGTCACCTCACTAACCCTCAACAACCCCCTCCCCCCACAGAAACACTGAGACCCAGAAAGTGTGGCCTTGTTCAGACACAGCAGGTCCGAGGCTCATGGGGCAGGGCCACCTTCAGCCTTGGGAGCCCCCGGGGCTGGCCGGGCCGGAGATGGGTGCACCTTGGTCTTCAGGTCGTAGCGCTCCTCCTTGTGCAGACCGCTGTCCACCACGTGCACAATGTCGTTGATGGTGATGGAGGTCTCGGCGATGTTGGTGGCCAAGACGATCTTGCGCACCCCGGCGGGGGGCTGCTGGAAGATGGCCTTCTGGTCCATCATGGGGATGTTGGAGTGCACTGCGGGCAGCAAGCACACTGGTTACGGCCGCTCCACAGGACCCCAGTTCCCCGACAGCGAGCTCAGGGAGGCTGCACAGCCAGCAGGAAGGGTGCGGTCTGCAGAGACCCTGGCCCTCGAGTCCCAGCTGGGTCAGGCACCCCCCAGGATGGGCGAGGGGCGAGGGGCGCCTGGGCCGTGCCGTGCGTGGCTCTCACCTGGCAGGATGAGGTACTTGCTCTCGTGCAGGCCCAGGGCCTCCTGCAGGCGCTGCTGCACCCCTTTGATCTCCTGCCAGCCAGGCAGGAAGCAGAGGATCCCACCTGTAAAGGGCCCTGCAGGCATGAGCTGCTGCTCCTCGCACACGCACACGGGGGCACAGGGCAGAGCGGGAGCACCCACCTGGCTCCCCACGGGCATCGATGTGCAGAACCAGATCGGTCACGAGGTCCAAATCGAGCGCACATTCATCCTCAGACTGAAGGGGAGGAGAGGCCGCAGTCAGCCCGGGGCCAGGGCTCAGTGGGGCTGAGGCAGCTGACACTGCACCTGCCACCCTCACCGCCCCCCATAGAGGAGACCAAGGCCTGGGAAGGCAACGTGCCCAGGCCACCGGGCCAGGGGGCAGGGGCGGCGCCTCACCTCGTGGTGCCGCCGGTGCGGGTGCGGGTGCTTCCCCAGCCTGGCCAGGATGTCCTCCAGGTAGTGCTCCTTGACGGGGTACATGAAGCCGGGCACCTTGATGACAGGGCAGCCCCCGAAGTAGCGGGAGAAGCGCTCGTTGTCGCCAGTGGCGCTCATGAGCACCAGCCGCAGGCCCGGGTTCAGGCGCTGCAGGCCCTTGAGCAGAATCAGCAGGAAGTCCGTGTTCACGTCGCGCTCGTGCACCTCGTCCACGATGACGTGGCTCACGCCC